GATCGAGCAGAGACCACCTAAGAAGCCCTTACCATGGCTAGAAGTGCTGGGTACGCAAGTGCAAAGGTAGCGCCACCTTCTACATCGAAACGCGTCACTAGGACCCTAGGCGCCATGGACTTCTAACAGACTCCACCAAACTTAACATGGTCCGCCCACCGTCGATATCTTGTCTGCGTCGCCACGTTGATCTGCTATGCTCTCTCTTCTCGGACTTCTCTACCGCTCTCCGCGCTCACATTATCTCTCATCTCCCTGCCTCTTTTGAACTTCTCCACAGCGTAGAGCAAAAGCTCGTATTTCCTGTGTATTTCAGATTTTTTCCTTTTTTCTCCACTGGCGGTCCACATCCCATCGTAACCTTTCACATTTGAGTGGACAGCCAGCATTTAATCCTGGTGCTGCCTCTAACCCGTGGCCGTAGGTTCTGCGGTTTGAATCTCCAAGAACTTTGTGAAAAGAAGAAACTACGTCAAGATTTCACTCAGGTATAAGGAAGATTACTAGTTCAGCGAAAGTTTCTAGCGCAATCATATAGAAAGATGGTTACACCAACTAGTGACCATCACAACACGCCCCTATTGTTTGGCTCATCTGAAGCGCAGAAAAATAAAGGGAGATAAATATGGCACTGATTGCAATATGTGAATTTATGCAGGTATATGAATACTTGGTGTACATAATGTGTCGGCCCCTGTCCAACTATAGGCATCATATTTGTGCTGAACCAATAAAACGCACCTTTATAACATCCTGTCCCGCTGACAGGGCCTCTCGTTCGGTAACCTGCTTCGCCTAAATAGAAAGATTAAGTGGCGAGGCTCTAGCCATTCTTATAGCTAATTTTACCTCTTCGTCATCCCTTTTTATTAAGGTGGCCGCAGGAACATACGTCGACGCTATCGGAGGAGGCGAAGCAACAGTTGGCATAGGTGGTGCAGGTGCAATGGCACCGGCGCTTGGAGCGGCCTGATACGGTGCAGATCCCTTATATGAAGGAGCTGCTGGTGCGGGTTGATACGAAGGAGGAGCTTGATAGGAGGGTGGAGCTTGATATGAAGGCGGGGCTTGGTAAGAAGGAGAAGGAGGAGGAGCTTGATATGATGGAGGAGGAGGAGGGGCTGCATAGGATGGAGGCGCTGCGTAGGATGGAGGTGCTGCATAGGATGGGGGAGCAGCATAAGATGGCGGAGGAACTGCATACGAGCCCATAGAGGGTGCGACGGCGTATCCACCCATCATACTTGGGCCGAAGGAAAAGCTGAAAATATAGTTTATAGGGAGCAGTATTTGCGTGGGGAATGGAGTCATTAAGCTTTGCTAGAAGGAATGTTCGTATTATGTGAAGGATGTTAATATTATTCGAAATGACTCAAATCCACGTAAAAAGCTGCAGCAGCTATGTTAGTGGGTAAATCGGAACTTCTTCCAGGAAAACTACCCGAAATGCTCACTTACCTCGGACATTTGGGCATTGCTGGTACACATGTCATCATAGGGCAACACATGGCGCCACCCCCACCACCTCCACCAAAGCACGCTAACGTGAACGTCGTCAGTAGAAGAAAGACGAGAAGTTCGACGAGTATCTGAAATGAGACGTATCAGAGTGTTTCCACACTTTGTGTCTTGCCCTCTTTGAGGATCGAAGTTCGGAGTTTCTATGCGCCTGTCTCCAGGGCGTCCCACACAGAAAATCTAGACAAATTAGGTGGACGGTTCTTAGGATACAATTCCTTGAAATGGACCCAAAAAATCGTTCTTTGCAGGATTTTTGCTTTTTGATTGAGTGCTCTGTGCTGTCGAAAATCCCAGGGTACTCAAGTTGCTTTCTATTCACAATGAGGTGGTCTTTAGAGTGCCCAGCAGGTTTTCGTCAGTGGTCGAGCTGTGTTACTTACCTAGCTCGCTCCACGAGGGCAGTCGGTATACCCGTGTTTCGAAGTTTCGGCAAGCCCCCATGACCCCATACGTGGCG